ACACACACACACACACACACACACACACACACACACACACACACACAGGATCTGTTCGCTAATTAGAGAGCTGGAGAAAACACTAAGGCTACTAAGCCAGCTAAATTTAAGAACATATCTTTTCCTCTTCGTGTTGGCCTCCAATCGAACACGGCTGGGCGGGTTTTCACTCCGGAAAAACGGGCAAACAAGTGGCATGATTTCAAAATGATGATGTACGTTAGATAGACCCATCTTGAATCATTTCACGGACTGTTCAAGTCATCTTAGTATGATGTCTTTGGAAACATAACCCACACACACACTCTTAGCTGAGCAGTTGGCATGCCCAGATGGAGCCACCCACATAGTACAGATACAGGCTAGGATTTCATTCATTGATTTATATTTCTGCTCCGTCAGTGTGTTAGCCTACTCCTCCAAGTCTACAATTTCATTTTTGACTAAACAATAAACTAAGTGGCTGATTGTTAGAGGTTTTAGTAATTCTGGGAGCTGTAAATGAATTGATGTAGGAGTGACTGATTACAAACTATACATCAAAGAATGATGTAACTAAAACTAATATACTATTCGTTAAAGGGAGGATATATGTGGGGATACAAGTATGCATGGTCTCCAAGGTCAAGGGCTTATAATAGTCTGCTCTAATAGTCTTCATTCATCAATAGCTGCTGACAGAAAGTGAGCTTCCCCTGACTACCCACACACACACACACACCAGTCAGTAAGTCTATAGCCTCAACGGGCACCAACACATGCAAATGTGTGGGCGAGCAAACACACACACCTGCTGCAGTGTGACCAGTGCTGCTGACACACAAAAACTACGGACTGTCTGACTACAGCTCCCGACAGCTGTCACGCTAACACAAGAGAAGGGAAAATGACAAGAGGGTAGAGGAGAAGAAGATGAGCAGAGGTGTTGAAAGAAAAGAGGAGCGGCGGGGCCGAGAATGAAATAATGAGGTCTATTTCACATACTGCAGAAAATGATGCAAGAGTGCAGTTGGGGAAAAAGTAGTTCCTGTAACGAGACACACCTTGGTTGATGGGCGTGATAGAGCTGTGATGTAATATTATTGGTGCTCTATCAACTGATTTTGCTTGTCTTCATGAATGTCTCTAAACTGCAGGCTTTTAAGGTGAAATCTTAATTTACTTTGTGTTGTACGATATCGGTTACAACAATCAGTTGAGCATTCTCTGGTTTTACTTAGGATAGATAGTCTATAGACCAGTGTTAAGCAGAAACAAAAACATGGACATTGGTGAAAATGTGCTGAAATTAACCAAAGAATGGCATCAAAAGAACCAATACTGAATTTACAACATCAGCACAGCTAAAGTATGATTACATTCCCACACTCAGCCCTATATCGACTGAAATTTATTCTACAAAAAATATTCAGTACATTTATGTTTTTAAAAGAACCAATAGACTCAATGTGAACTGTAGTTACAATGTGTGTCTGTGTGCTACTGCAATGCAGTGAAATGCATCTTGACTAGTGATGCATGAGACTCCCCCGGCCTTGCCCTTCTCTCCTTTACATTGCTCTCCTCTCCTAAAGGCTGCATCCTTCCTCCTCCTCCTCCATTTTCCCCTCCTTTTCTGCCCCGATCTTGTTTCTTCTTTTTCCTCTCTGCTCACCCTCCCTTCCTCTTCTATTTTCATCCCATCCCTTCCTTTCTCCGTCTTCCAAAAACACTCTTGTTCCCTTTCTCCCCCCTTTTTTTTTTTTTTTTTTTTTTTTTTAAAACTACCTTCCTGCACTTCTCCACTCTATTCTGTCATCTCACCACTGATGTGGAAAGTACAAGCAGCATAAAGACTCATTACAGTGACAAATGACTGATGTAGACAAAGATGGTTTAGAGATGTATGAAGAGTTATGGACTAATGTACACTAAACAGAGCTGAGGTTGGTAACAGTAAGTGTGTCAGTGTGCCACTGTACAGCTGCCTGAACACTAAAGGACTCTGGACAAAATTCCAGCAAAACTTTACACTCTTGACATAATGCTTATTGTAAAATAGAGACAAATGTGTCATGGGTGGGAGAGGAGGGCTGAAGAGAAAGGGGAACATAAGGAAAACATATATGTTGATTTCCGTTGTTAAGATGAGGGGGAGAAGAGAGTATCGATGACGGAGAGTAGTAATGCGAGTGTGACAGTATGTCACCTCTGTGTGGTTCTGGAGGGTGAATGCTAACGAGGTCTCGAGGCCGCAGATAAACAACAAAAGATAGCTGACGAATGCACTCATTGCTCCGCGTCTCTCTCTTCCTCATTTGGAATGCTTACCGAGCTACCGTATATCTCTACATCCCTCCTCCGTTATTCTCCTCTTTCACCATCCATCTCACAGCACGGTGGTATGAATTGATACCAGAGCGATGGATGGGAACCAATTAAGATAAGAAGAAACGCGCTTCTCCCGACTACAAAACGCCACCATCCTTTTTCCTGCCACACTCTTTGGTGCGCTTTGTGAGATAGTTCTCATCTTGCACAGTTGCTGTATATTCAGCGCCTATTTACAGAGAATGCTGATTTCCATTTGCTCAATACATCCTCATTACAGCTATTGATATTCTGCATCTGAGATCTCTCACTGGAACAATGATATAGGCCAGGGGTGCCCACACTTTTTCGACTTGCGAGCTACTTTTAAAATGACCAAGTCAAAATGAACTACCTACATTAAAAATGCTGAATACCTGAGGACCTGCTGGAGACTGAGCGTCGCGTTCAGCCTAAAACTACCATTGAGGAGGAGATGGATGTATTTAACTATTATCCACCAAATAATTCAGTTCAGAACAGTTTTAAGGTCTTAAATCCATCAATTGCCTAATTCCCAAACTCAGGTGCAGGTGAGATTTGGGTGTGGCTATAATTACCACAGTACACGGGATGCAACATATTAGCATTTGAATATGAATTTGCAAACATAGACAGCTTAACAATGTTAAAAGGATCATTTGTGGAGTTACTTGCAACAGCTTAAACTTTTGTTGTGACTTGTTGCATGTATGATTTAAAATATCTGCAAAGCAATAGACAAAATTATTTTTTTTAATATACAGTGTTGTATCATTACTGCTAATGGGTCATAATGTGTGGAGTTTTGTGAAAACTGTGCCATGGAAAACATGATGAATGCTGGACTAGAAAATAGTGAATTCATAAAAGGAGACATTATCTGCCCTTGAGAATAGAACAGAATACAATGCTGGATGGAACGGGAACACAGCAGAGTTCTCGAATAAATTACAATGTTGAGGTGTCATGTTGTGGATGAAGCCGGGTGCTCCACAGAGGACATATGGACAGCTCTGAGGTAAGCCACAGTCAAAACCACTCGTCAAAATTTCTAGTAAAGTATTTTTATTTTATTTTATTGGTCAGGCTTCCTGGGGGGCTCCCTGTTGATGTGAAGGTCTATCATCTGGCAAATTGGCAGATGAACTTGCAAGCTTTTCAACCTCACTTCAGGCTTCCAGTGTGTCCGATGTAGGCTGCTGTGGTAAGATACTGGCACCAAACTCCTGTCGTGTAAACCAGTAGCATATCTGACCTGTAACTTTGGATTCAGAATAGATTTTGT